AAATTAACTAGCTGAGTTTTATAAACTTTGAATTAACTCAATTAATTAATTGAGTATTGATCGGAAGTACAAAAAAGATTTAAACAATAGCGCTGCAACTGCGTGTATTTAACCAGCAACAATAATTTGTGGTGTAAAACAAATTAAAGTAATATTTTTGATTTAATTATAATTTCGCCTGATAATCAAAGTTTGTTCCTTAATCGAAAGTTCTGAGCAAAAATCAATAAAGCCCTTTCTTTGTGATTAAATGTGTTTCTTTGTGACTTAAATAACATAAACTTTCGTCAAATTTTCCAATACAACAAATTCTAAAGTTTTGGTTCAACAGACATCAAGATGCAGATATTTTTAAAATAACTCCTGTGTCAATTTCAATCCTAATCTTTGTCTTCTAATAATTTTATTCGATAAACTAATGAAAATTAAACTTTTGAATTTCATTAAGAGAGATTTGTCCGTAGAATGAAAATATACTTACTGACTAAAATGTCATTAAAATTATCGTGTACACGGCAAATTAATTTACGGACCCTGATATTGTTTTTTAAGAAAGCAAAGAATTTGTAGACCAAACTTAGCTTATAAAAACTAGATTGCTTTTGTTATCCAAATTCTCCAACATGATTTTCATTGTTTCTAGAAGTGTGAAAAAAGCTCTTTCCAATGATACAATTAAAAAAAAAAAATTTCCCATGCAAGTATGTTTTTTTGAAGGTATTTTATTTTTGTAGCCATATTGATTATAAAATAACTCAGCATGGGCATTTTTAAAAAAGATGAATTTTAATCTTTACCATAATATTAGTACGTAAAACCTTACAATAAAAAATTACAATACTGAAAAACCTTTTGTTGTGGAGGTATGACCCTACAAAAAAACAGTAAAAGTTTATGGTGTTGAACTTGTGACGCTATTTGTTGTACCATAGACTAAAATCTAGGCACAATATGAAATTTGTAATAAATATTTTGCAATCTGCACCTTCGGTTTACTAAGAATTCACGTTTTTAAGATATATTACCTTTTCATTAAAAAATATAAGACCCCAAAAACACGTACTAAACCCACTGAGTTAATAAAAGTAACTATGTATTGTATTTTCTACGTATTCAAATAGAAGTGCATGACAACGTTGTTTATACACAAAATATAAACAAAAAAAATAAATAATTTTTTGTCTCAAAATGTCTGTTAGTTGTTAAACCCTACGATGTGGAAACGGAAATAAAATTCATTTTCGAATTTTATTTCCTCTTTTTTTATTTTTATATCTTCGCTTCCAACAAGGCTGCAAGCAACCACTATTAGAGTTGGAAGTTACTGAAAGAGAAAAGATGAAGTTTGTAGAGCAAGGTAACGATTGACAGACGACTTAAAAAGTTACAAATTATATGAATCAGAAAAGCAAGATGAAGGAAGCGAATTGATCAAAGAACTGATGTTCGAGGAAAAAAACTAGACGAAGAGGTTTTGGAACACTTAGGAACAATCACAGAATAAGGATGAGACTTATTTAAATGACGAGTAACACAAGAATGAATTTTAGTAGATGGCAAAAGAGATTATAATGGAAAACTATGTTTACAATGCGTTTTTGCACCTTGTTTAAAAGAGAAAGGGCATCATTAGAAGATCCACCCCAGATATAGCAACAGTGTACCATACAAGGATGGATTTGAGATTTACAGAGATAAAGAATAGAATCTTGAGTAAGAACACAATAAAGAGATACAACATTAGCAGGTGGTAGTTTTACAATGAATTTGATATATGGTTTCCAATAAAGATAAAAAATAAGAGTTAATCCTAAAAGAAGAAAGGTAGATGACTCGTCGAGTACATAACCATTCATAAATAAAGATCTAGAATATTGCGATAATGATTGGTTGAAAAAAAAGTTTTATCAGAGTTAACGCGGCACCAGACACTGGGAGTCTAATTCTGTAGCAGAAGGGAAATCTTTTTCAAGTTCAAATGCCCCCTCTAAGCAATCAGAGACTGTTGGCTTCATTATCAAGACAAGAATAAATTGTAGTATCATCAGCAAGTAATGCCACCTAAACTGTGAGAATTTCTGGGAGATCATTAATGTAAATTAAAAAAAAGTATAGGGTCAACGATAGAACCTTGAGAAATGTCAAGAGCAATAGCCTTAACGTCTCCACCTCTATCTAATACACGATAAAACTTAACTGGTTATCACTGTTAGCAAATCAGCTGTAGTAAGAGAAGATTGAAATCCATATTGTTGATCAGAAAGTAAATTATTAGGTTCAAGATGAGAGATTAAGTGTTTGTTAATTAAAGACCTTGCTTATGACAGGAAAGAGACTAATGGGACGGTAGTTAGACAAGTCAGATTGCTCTTCAGGATTTTTGAAAATAGGGATAACAGATGCCGCCATGCTGAAAAACAAAACTCTGATAAGCACTTATTAAATAGTTTTGAAATATATATTACAATAAAAGGTATATTTGCGGGACCACAAACTGTAGGAGAGTCTAAGCAGGAAATCAATTTTTATACAGAAGCTGGAGTGATACGAATATCAAGCAATCGATCAACTTGTTTGACGGGTAAATCAGGTGGAACGCAACTAGTGGAATCAAGAGATGATACCAATGAAAGGTTCTCAGCAAACAATTCATCTTTGTCTTTAGGTGAGGTGACAAAGTCGGAACCATACAAGAGAGATGAAATAACAGATTTGCGCTTATTATTGATACTGTTAAAGATTCTCCAGAAGTCACTAGAGCCTAGTTTTTGTGAGTAATATTACATAGTATAATATTACATACTTAATTAATTATATGCTAAAATAATATATTATATACTTATAACATTTGTTATATACTCATGTCATTACAAAGAATGGAAGTTTTTTCTTTATACCAATTGGGCACATTTTTACTATTATTATATTTGTCAACTTGTAGCATTTTAAAAAGCGCTGCACGAGTATTAATAAGAGCAGCATTTAAGCAGAAATGGAATGGTGTTAATGCAAACAATGAAACGGTGTTGTTGCAATGACCAGAATGTTAGGGGCACCTAGTAGGAGAAGCAGGCTCTAGATAGATAGACTATAAAAAGTAAGGGTGTCCCGGATAACACTTTTTTATTATCCGACCGAATATTGAATACCCGGATATTTAAAAATTATCCGGCCGGATAATGTAATTCAAGTCCTAAAATATATAGTTTATTATGACAAAATATTACCGTGATAAACCTTCGAAATGGTGAGCTTTGTTTGGAAGTTTTTCAAATTTAATGATAGCTGTGATTTCACGGCAATATGCATTCTATGTGGAAAGCAGATAAGCAGGGGATGTAATAAATCTGGTCAGAAGTCATTTTGCACTACTCCACTGCATAATCAAGTTGTATGAAGAGGAAAAAAAGTATATTGAATTTTCTTCAGCTACACAAAAAAGTTCAAAATAAATTGAACTCTGATCAAGTCTACTTTTTTAAAGCTGCGTAAATAAATGTTTTTTTTTAATCACTCTACTATAGATAAAGATAATAACGTTTTAGGTTATTAGAAACAATGAAGAGAAGTTTTAACTGCTAAAAGAGTTAGCACTTAAGTTACTAGTAACCACCTGCAATCTCTGTATTTTCGGAAGATTGTTTTCATTATTTATGAGAAAAAGCGATCAAGGCTAGAAATTTTAATTTCTTCACGTTGAGGTAAAATAAATAGAAATGAGCGATAAACTGATGTATTTATTGCACATATATAATTTTAGTAGTATTATAATTATAATAACAAAATTCGATAGAAACCATTAACATTAGATAGTTTGAAAATATAACATTTCTAGATTTATTTCAATTTTCAAATGACATTAACAAGAAATATCCGGTATATAAAAACCGGTATATAATTATCCGACCAGATATTGAATAATACTTCTATCCGGCCCGGATAGCTTATCCGGGACACCCCTAAGAAGTAGTGACGTAAGGATAAAATTATACAATTATAAATTACCATTATGCAATAAAAAAAAAGCACCTAAGTTCTTAATTAATTTTTAAAATTATTTAAATTTAGACTTTTGAGAAGCGCAGAGGTTATTGTAACTTGTAGTTATGTTTTATGAAAAAAATCAGACCATAAAATAAAACACGCCATGTTTTTGGCAAAGACATTTTGCTAATTGAAATTCAAGTTACTTTTCCCCAACAGACAATTTCTTATTCTGAATAATAAAATAGTTAAAGAGATCAATGTTATGACTGACTACATTTCTCTCTTCTAGGCATCGTGGTTTTTGACCTTTGCTGATTCTGCAGCTTTTAAAGTAATACTTTTGATATCTTAGTCTTAATAATTAGAATATATTTCATAAAAGTTTTTTATTTAATTGTTTAAAAACAATGGTTTACAAAAAAGTTTAATGTCAGATGTAATTAACAAAGAAAACAACTCTTAACCAATTTTTTTTTTTCACTAACAGACTTTTTTTAAATCATTAGAAATATAAATGTATAGAATATACATTATAGAAATAACACTTAAACTTTAGAAACTATAGAAATAACACTTAAACTTTATTTTGTCAAAATTAAATGTAATAATTTTTTAGCAGTGTCTTTATTTTATTTACATTACATCATTTTCAATTTTGGATAAAATTTTAAGGCGCTAAAGGGATAAGGGATTAATTAAGGGATTGGTGCGATTAAACGTACATTATTTGGGAAAGGGTTAGGGTTAGGTTTTTTTTTTAAACTTCAACATCAAAATAGAGCTCTTTCTGTTGATTTTCAGACCAATGTTTTTATACGATTCTTAATCAGCATAAAATTCTCTATCATAATCAGCAATAAAAAAAAAGAAGGGGGGGGGGGTAAAGAAACTGCAGTAGCGCCAAATTTTAATCAAAATAATTAACTGCATACACATTTACCAAAACTTCCAAGTAAAAGTCAAAATTTTGGCAAATAACTATTAATTTGCTTAAATTATAATAAACACTTTTTTTTCTTCAAGTTTTTAATATCAAAAAAACTTATGATACAACTTTTTTAACACAAAAAAACAATGTTTACAATAAATTATAAATTGAAAAAAAAAAGAATATTAATTAGCATTTTTATTTTGCTGAGTCTTCAGATGCCATGGTCATTTTATCAAACTGATAAATACCAAGACCATCGCCACATCTCTTTGCATTAGTAAGCAACTTAGAAATCTGGTTGATTGAATCAACCTGCTCATTCAAGAACTCTGATTCTAAATAATCACTCAAATGAGGATCATTGTATTTGGTAGCAATCATATGTAAATCCAACAAAGATTGATTTACTTTTTTCTCCAAAGTGAGCGCATCTTCTAATGCTGAAATATGACTAGACCATTCGTTTTGTGGGGCTATTACAGATTGAAGAAAAATACGACCACCTCGTTTGTTTTGATAGCTCATAAGCTAAAAAACAAAATCATATTTCTAGTCACATTATTTTATAAACAAACTAAACAAATATATATAACAATAATAATGCAACACTAAAATTTTTCTTAAAAGTTATACCTTTTCAGCATGTTCACGTTCTTCATCAGACTGGTGCTTGAAAAATTTGAAGAATCCCTCCAACGCAACATCATCTCGATCAAAGTGATAAGCCTATGAAAATCAAGTAAAACTTAATGAGGTAATTTTATTATACATAATAAAACAAAATTTCAACAAAAAATCTATTATCTGTGAATCTTGGACTTCTCACAATCTAATTTATAGAGTTGTTTGTTCTTAGATTTACAATTTTTATTATTTTTATTACTGATTGCATTACTATTACTTTTACAGTCCAGCAGTTAAACCTAGTAAACACCATTTTTAAAAGAAATCAGTGCATAAATATTTTGGGAGTTGCCAGATTAATTCTTACTATTATAGCAGAATTATTATAAAGAATTCACTAATTACAGCTTACAAATAAGAAAAAAAAGTTCAACAACTGCAAAGATCAACTGCAATGAATGTTACAAATACTATGTAAAACCTTACAAGTACATCAACTAATATGATTATTGGTTGGTGTTAATAATTATTATCAAATTTATGTTCAAAATTAAAAAGTTTCAAGTTTACTGTCCATTGTCATTATCCATTAACCTACCATAGACATGTAAACATAGCTTGCGTATAACTCAGCATTTATTTGTTTATTGATGGCTGCTTCACAATCTTCATGAAAGTTTTGTCTGCATCGACTCATACTTAGTATTTTTTTTATATAATTAAATAAAAAATAACTGCTTAGTCTGTTCTATCACTGTAGAAGCAGCACCAAACTTTTCGTTGTTATGAAAATTTGTTTAGTTAAAATATATGAAAGTCACATGACCTTTAACATAAATTTAATTGGCCAATTAATTACAAAAACGATGTAATAAAATCTTACTGGCTAGAAAAGTAACGGCCGTTTTCCACAAGAAAAATTTTTCGCGCGAAGCCAATAAGTACTTAAGCCGTCCCTGCTAGGTAGAACTATGGAAGTTTGTGTGGAGTGAAAATAACTGAAATTTAATTTTCAGAAATAAAACTATTCTCCCTAATTTATATATTAGAAATTTGTATATAAGTTATAAGAAAACTAATAAAATGAAACAAAGATAAGCAAAACTGGACAAGAATTCCCCCTGTAGCAATTTTCGGCTAATATTACTTAATAACAAGGAGTTATTAAAGCATAGCCAGGGCCGGCGCGAGTAGGTGTCACGTGGGGGTGCCAATACAACTTCTGCCGACTAAAAAAAAAAAAAAAAAGTTCTCGTTTTTCAAAATTTGCTAACTGCCATGACGACTTTTGCCGACTGTCTAGTTTACCGACTAACCTATATCGAAAGGGTCGATATTTGACGACTAACTAGTCTGAAAGGGTCCAATTTGCCGACTAAAGGTCCAATTTGCCAACTAAAAACCATTGATGGGGGAGGGGGTGTCATACCCCTCGCACCCCCCTATCGCTCCAGCCTTGAGCATAGCTATAATAACTCCTTGTTAATATGCATAGCAATCAAAAAATTTGAATATAAGGCATATATTAAAATCTATGCTCTGCTCCGAGTATTAATGCAAATCATATTTCTAAATTTTTGTAATGGTATTTAGTTTGAATTAATAATATTATTTATAAATTAATAATATATAATAATATTAACACTATATTATGTAATACAGTTTTTAAAAATATAAATTAATCAAATACGGTTTGTGTTAAAAATACGAGTGGTTACATATTTTATTGTAAGTTATTTTATAGCTTGAATTTAGCCTCATAATATAACTAATTTTGAAAAAAACATTTTTTTTAAATATTATTAGCATAAAATCATTTTGCTATTTTTCTTTTAATGTTTTTCATATTAAAAAAAATTAAAACTATGTATGTTTCTATGTAGCAGTGTCTCAAGGAACCTTTTTGAGGTTTTTTGAGACACTGCTCTTTTTTTAGCATTAAAACAAAGTTGAAGCATTAAAATTACAAGTTCTATAGTATTCTAAATAACACAACATCATTGAATGTTTTGCAAGAGCTAGGCGGTGATGAAACTAATGTAAACACAAGAAGCAAGAGTGGTGTTATTTGATTGTTTGAGTTAAAACTTCAACGGCGTCTATAATAGGTAATTTGTTTGCTGCATGGAAATAAGCTTCCATACGTCATTTGTTTGTGGAGTAAAATTGACCAAAATCTGGTTTTAGATACTATTAAGATTCTATTAGAAAGTCTCTTGAAACATGTAAGATTTCAAAGGTTGTTAATTTGCAATCTATAAATTATAATGTAAAATGGCCAGAGTTTGCTGAAAAAAGGATTAAAAAAGGATAAAAAAAGGTAAAACACTAAAAATTACTTAATATAAAAAACAGCAAATTTTTACATAAAATAAAAAACGTCAAATACGGCAAATTTTGAAAATTTGAATAAATTGGTCAAAAGTTGCTGCAGGGGGTAGTTCTTGTCCAATTTAGATCACTGATATAAAAATCATGGAATAAAAATAAATTTCTTAAAAATTTTATTTTTACTCCACCCTAATAGAAGTGTTTGTTTTCATGGTAGAGCGCATATTAAAAACCGTAAAATAGAGGTGACTATGTAGGCAGTATTGGAGTCAAACACATTTGATCAAATAGATATTCAAATACGTTAATTCTAAATTTCTAAATACGAATTCAAATACAAATATATTTAATCTGCATTTTACAAATACAAATGTCATTACTTTTGTATTTACTAATGACAAGACTGAAAGAGTGGTCTACTAAATAGAAGGATAAAAACAAATATCGGTTACAAACAAGTTTTAATTTTATTTTAGTGTTAAAAATATGGGGTAAAAAGGAACCACTTGGTAATTCCCCCCAAAACTTGATTAACCTAGTTTATGAAATTGCAAATACATTTCAATCAAATACAAATATTTAGGAAATTTTAAAACCAAATTCAATTCAAATATAAACACGCTAAATTAGCTTATTTTAACCAAATAAAAATTCAAATAAAGATTTAAAAACCGCTTTGTTCGTTTGCGTTTTCTTCCGAATTTAGATTGATCATAAAAGTAAAGGTATTTATTTAATTATCTATTTATTTATTGCTTAGATTATTTCTAGTTTAGGTAACATTTTTTTGTTTGAGACTATAAAAATTGTAAAATTTATATACTGCAAAATTGTAAGTTGGTTGTAACTGCCATTGATATTTGAGTGGATTGTGATGTTATAACTAAATGTAAATTTATACAGATTGTGGTGTTATAACTAAATGTAAATTTATACGGATTGTGGTGTTATACACTTCTAATTAAAAATAATTTTAAATTGGCCACAACTTGGGATGAATTTAACCATACCGAAAAAATGTAATTATTTAATTTTCAATGTTATATTTTTGATTTATTTTTCAGAAAATGTTGTCTGTGGATATTTTATTATTGATTTCATTTCAATTTTTGTTTTTTGGAGAAAATACAATAAAAAAAAAAAAAAAATCATATTTGTAACAAAGAGATATCACCAAGAGGTGGCGTAGGAAGGTTTTTTAATGTTTGAAATAACCAATTTTAAAACAAAAAAAATATTCCAATTTTTTTTTACGTTAATATGAATGACGAAAAGATTCTTCACAAAATAAAATTACTGTGAGACTTGATAGGGAACAAGAAGAGTTTAAGTTTTTTTTTAAAAATTTGGTACATTAAGTATTATCAGCTTGTAAATCCCAAGTTACCATTGAAAACTAAGTTGTACTTTTTATTTGACTTCCAATTTGGACATTAGTGCTTTCAATCTCCATATGCCTTTTTCACATATTGCAGAACTGTCTTTCATGTGAAGACAGAATAATTATCTAAATCAAAAAAGTTGAATCATTTAAAAGTAATAACTTTTTCAATTCAAAAGTAAAATATCGTCTTCACTTAAATAAATATTCTACATTCTTTTATAAAAAAAATAATACCAAAACATGTAGGGTAGAGCGGGGCTAGTTAAGCATAGGGGCAAGTCGGGTAGTTAAAGTACCTCAAAAACTACGCATCACATGAGAAAACATCTAATGAATGAAAGTTAGTGAATTAGAATGTTAACACAATGCGCAACAAAAGTTAGCTGAAAAGCTATTGAGCAAGATACTCAGGCACTTTTTGCTATTTTTCTCTTGTATGCTTATAAACATTTTTTATCTGCCATCACTTAAGTATTGATAATTTACCAATTTATCAGACTTTTGATTAAAATTAACTGTTTTTTATAAATTTTTACTATTCTTTTTAAAACCTAACTCATGCGTCACCTTGTCTTGTAGGGGTAAGTTGAAAAATAAAAAAAACTGAACTATCGAACACAAAAAAACAACTTTGATGAGAAATAAAAGAGCGGTACATTATTTATGTATATTTTTAAAATTAGTATTTACTTTGTTAATTTTAATCAAAAGTCCGATAAATTGGTAAATTATCAATACTTAAGTGAAAGAAGATAAAAAAAGTTAGTATTATAGTAATTATTACTATTTACTTTGAAAGAAAAGAATTAATATATCATAAGAAATGATAAAGCTATTCGAAAACCTCCTTACCATACAAACTTTGGAAAGTTTTGCATCTCTTGGAGCTTTTCTGTAGAATAAAATATTTTCAAAACATTTTTATAATTTCAAGAAATGTTGTTATCCCTTCTTTAAACAAAAACCAAAAAATATTATATTTTCAATTGATAAAATATTTATGTTTTTTTAAAGTTCTTATCTTTAGTTTTCTTATTTTTTGTTTTCCAGAAAAATACTTTATTGTTAAAGTTATAATATATTGTAAACATATACTAATTTTGTAAATTTTTTTCTGAAATAATGTTATATATAGTTTTAGTGTCATTTATGAGTATATATTTATGTGTGCATGCACCTGTATGTGCAAACACACATACATAGATATATATATATATACATGTATATGTATATATATGTGTGTGTGTGAGTGTGTGTGAGTGTGTGTGTGTGTGTGTGTGTGTGTGTGTGTGTGTGTGTGTGTGTGTGTGTGCGTATGTATGTGTTGTATATGTATGTATGTATGTATGTATGTATGTATGTATGTATGTATGTATGTATGTATGTATGTATGTATGTATGTATGTATGTATGTATGTATGTATGTATGTATGTATGTGTTTTGTTTTTATATGTCTATGTGTTTACTTGTGTTTATAAAAATGTTCTATATGCACATATGATGTTATGTATGTTCATACACGCAAGTGACAAGTATGACCTTCAAAACTAATCTACTTGCCTAAAACGGCTGAAATGTTGCTGCACGGCTGTTCAAAGTTGCTGCACGTGGGTCAAAGAAAAACTTTTACAAACCATCAAGTGGAAAATATTCATCATATGACAGTAAAAATCTTTCAATTAAATTCGACAAGACAATCGTGATATAGTAATCAATAAACGACAAAGACAATCATGATAGATAGACATAACCTATTCAAAAGATAGACTTAATCTATTAAATAATGTATTTACAAATGTGTTTTACAATTGTTGGAAAAAGTAATAATTTTGAAGAAAAATGAAAAGTTCGTCACAAAAATTAAAACATACTGAAAATAAGAACTCGCATTGTATACATCAACTTTTATTGACGCGTCAAACTTTAGCGGTTCTTTTGACAAGACCTTCGAAGTCTTCTATGAGTTTCCGCGTTTTTTATTTTTATTTAATTTCTATCATTATTTTAAAATAACTTTATGTATTTGTATAAAAATTTTTATGTAATAAAGAACAAAAAAAAAAAGTAAGTTTTAAATCGGTC